GTTGATCGGTAAAATAGAAAGTGTACTATTTTTCCTATGTAGTAATAATGAGGAAAGTCCCCGAATGTCGATCTCAAGGATTGTGTATCAATACAAAGTGTGAAAAATAATTCAATTAAACAAAAACTAATGTTGTGATTTACTTTGTTAAATTATAAAAGTAATTGCGAATAAAAAAAACAAAGTAATTGAATGGTTTAGAAAGATATAATTAATATTCTAGGGAAAATATATGATTCAATTTTGTAACAACTCTGAACTAACATTGCAACAACATATTTTAAATAATTAATTATCGGTTCTTACGGGTGTCTACTCCTAAGTAATTTATGAGAAAACCTTTAATCATTCAAACTAATTCATACGTCCGTAGATAATTACAGATGAAATTAAGCATTAATTTATCAAGAATAAGCCATTGTCTATAAGGTATCCCTAGTGCTAGGTGATATCTACTATAAAATATTCTCAAGAAAAACATTAACAATAACAGTCCTACCTGATTGTTAATCGTAAATCAAACTCAGTTTATCCAAAAGAGAAATCCTTATAATCATCATGAGAATAAATCAATTATGATAAAATAAGATTTCTATTGAAAAGATAAATTCAAATTCATTACAATTCTGAACCAGGGACACCTCATAACATTAGGGGGTTTAGCTACCATAGAAATAAAGCAAAACATGATAAATATTGTTGTCGTTAAAGATATTTTAGATGAATTGATCTTCAATCGCGAAAAGCTTATGAAAATCTGAATCCACCTTGAAATTATGAGTTCTCCAGCCTTGAAAACGTGTTTTTTTCGTAAAAAAATCGTCCAATATGGTAAAATTTGAATTCCAGTCTTAAATTGCGCAATTTTGGGCTTTCTGTAAAACTGGGCCTCCGTACGCATATAACACGAGCCCATACGTGCATGACCTTGTTCACAGGCCAAAACTGATACACGGACGAAACATGGCACACATCTAGACATGTTTCCTTATGTATATCATACGCGTATGGGCAATGTCACTCCTTTTTACCCCTTCTACTGGGCTGCATATGATACGAGTATTGGTGCAGGCCAAATATGTGTATTTCCTCAGTGCATACGTGCATGGACAAAAACTTCCTTTTTCCTTCTTCTTCCAAGCTGACTCGCATATGGTACATGTATGGATGCAGGGCCAACGCGTATGACATAGGTCCATATGCGTATGGGCAGAACTTCAACCTTTTCTCCATTCTCCTATGATTATGTATTTTGACCTGGTCTTTTGATATGACTCTCGATTCTATGTCTCTTTTAACCTGCATCCAACAAGCCAACCATACCCAAAGGCATAAAAATAGCCAAAAGAAACTCAAACTGTAGCAAACACTATCTTATACAAACTGACTCAAATGATCAAGAATTAAGACCAAAGTTATATAGTTCACCTAGATTTTTGACATATAAATGACGAAAACTATAGTACAAATGGTGACTAATCAGTTGTTCCCAACCAAATGGTGACTAAACGTGTGGCCGACCCACCATAACACATGGAATGGATAGTTGTAAGACATATAAAGTGTTTTCAACATCATCCTTATCTTTTAGTGGAGAATTGATTGCTTTAGCTGGACGTGCAAAGCTTCTCCTCACAATGCCTTTTGGTGAGGAATTAATTGTTGTAGACGAACGTACAAAGCGTCTCCCACAACACCCCTGTCAAGATAAGTAAAGAGAATTTAAAATTAGAAATAAGTAACATAGAGCTTAAAGATCATATTGAATTTTTTAATTCAACAAGATCACAAAAACTTGGGGAAGAATTAGCCGATGCTAGTAGTCAAATGTTAGAATCTATCAAATGTGAAACATCTATTTCATTAAAAAATGAAGTTAATAATTGAAACAACCGGCTGAACAAATCATCGAGATGAAATTAATGAAGTCACCATCAAACGTTTTTTATCCCACGGGAAGGGAAAGTTAAACATTGAGTAAACCTGAGAAGGGTGAAATCAAGGTCGAATGACCAAGAGATACGGGTAAGGGAGTCTGTTACGCGAGGGGAAGGTATTAACACCCCACACGCCCATAGTACTCTATGGTATCCACTCTTGTTGTTCTAATCAAAGAGTGCGTTTCAAATCTAAGCTTAAGAGCTAAAAGAAAATGAAAGGACCGTTGGAGGTAAATGTGTGGCCGACCCACCATAACACATGGAATGGCTAGTTGTAAGACGTACAAAACGTATTCTACATCATCCTTATCTTTTAGTGGGGAATTGATTGCTTTAGATGGACGTGCAAAGCTTCTCCCATAATGCCTTTTGGTGAGGAATTAATTGTTGTAGACGAACGTACAAAGCGTCTCCCACAACACCCCTGTCAAGCTAAGTAAAGAGAATGGAAAATTAGAAATAAGTAACATAGATCTTAAAGATCATATTGAATTTTTCAATTGAGCAAGATCATAAAAACTTGGGGAAGAATTAGTTGATGCTAGTAGTCAAACGTTAGAATCTAGCAAATGTGAAACATGTATTTCATTACAAAAATGAAGTTAATAATTAAAACAATCGACTGAACAAATCATCAAGATGAAATCAATGAAGTCACCATCAAACATTTTTTATCCCACAGAAAGGGAAAGGTAAACATCGAGTAAACTTGAGAAGGGTGAAATCAAGGTCGAACGACCAAGAGATACGGGTAAGGGAGTCTGTTACGTGAGGGGAAGGTATTAACACCCACACGCCCGTAGTACTCTATGGTATCCACTATTGTTGTTCTAATAAAAGGGTGTGTTTCAAATCTAAGCTTAAGAGCTAAAAGAAAATGAAAAGATGGAATGCATGCAAAAGAAAAGAGAAAATAATTTAGGTAAAATAAAGTTGTGCTCGTTCGGGCCCTACCCCAATGTCTACGTATCCCTTTTAAGGAATCAGAGTAGCTGTAGTTTGGATCACATGTTTTGATTTGTTTGTATTTTTTAATGAACGATATTAATTTCACCTTCTGCCGCAGCTCGACCTATGGAGACTTACGCGTCAGCACATAAGTGAATTAACATGTTCTTTTGAAAGTTTAAAAGAAAATCCCGAAGTCGCAAAAAGCTCGTATTGGTTGATATCTTTTACCTTAAAAAAAGGATTTGAAAGTTGTTAGATGTTTTATGATTTGCCAAGAAAAATAGTTTTAGTCTTAATGCAAGGATGCAAAAGAAAGAAAAGCATCTAAGAGAGACTACCCTAAATCTATCCCTAATATTATCATACAATGATTGACCCTAAGGTTGAGTTTTGAAAGGTAAATCTCTACCCTATGTTAGCATGCATGGATACCTATCCTAATGTCTAGATTGAAAGCTACTCTAATCAAGTGATCCTAAGGGAAGCATGGTATATCAAACAAATAAGCAAACAAGTGCTTTGGAAAAAACATACAAACATGAGTAGCACATGCTGACTCAAAGGGATGGGGGAAACAAGAGAAATGCTTTAGATAAGGGGAGAGGATCACCCGAAGCAAACAAGCGGGAGACAGATGTAAAACAAAAATGTGATGTCCAACGCAATTGAACACCTAACCAAGATATAGAAGATCGAGGTAGGCGATAGAAGGCAATATGAAAAATCACGTAGTATCAGCATCGGTTAATGCGAACTCCTGACAAAGTGTGGGGGTTTGATTGCGAAACCCTTTTCCACTTGACGACTCAATACACATGATCTTGGGAACATATTCAGAGCTCGGAACTTGCAGAAAGTGAGCATAGGAATGACACTAATGGAAAACTAGAGGAGATTGATTACTAACCTTTTCCACTTGCCTTTTGATGAGGACTTAGGAATGGTTGCCATAAAAGGACCTAAAACCATCATCCCGCTATACAAGCACAAATGTAAACACACGTGCAGAATACCTGCTTCAAAGGTAGGATTTTAAACAAATGCAATTAGCACACAATACACATAATACAGAATTTCCCTAAACATGTCTTTAAATAAACCAGAAGGGTTCCTGACATGATCAACAACAGATACCCCTGTCATACATCTCTAGCCCTACTTCTCATGGCATCAGAAAACGGTAAAGTTCCTACTTCTCATGATATCTAGAAAACAATAAAGTGCTGCAATGAGATGAACAAGAGAAAATAACAAACGAATATAAATCCGTAGCAAAGCGTATCAAAACAAAGAAATCCGACGATCTTCGCGAAAGCTTCACCAATCAAAGAAAAGAGTCAGAAATCAAATGCTCGGAATAAGTGTCAAAGCATCATCAATGTGAAAATAAATCACAATTGAAATCTCGAGCATATCCGTATATCACACAATAAACCTAAATAAGACTCGAATCTCAACAAGTAAAGGTGAATCACAAGTTTAGAATAATCGGATAATCATGAATTAATTCCTAACATCAAATAAAAAAACTAACAAATTTTTATTAATATCGTAACTTTTTATCATGTGGAGAAACTTTAAACAAATCTAAACAATTAACAAAATCAACAAACAAAGGAAAATGCAATAGGATAAGCCCAGGGGGTGTGATCCTGAAATCCAGGGGTTTCCTGAGGTAGGGCGCTAGGCCCAATCAAATGGTTCAATATCAGTTTTTTTCTTTATTTGATTCTTCAGGCTACAAAAAAAATTCAATAGGCCTAAGAGAGTATGGTTCAGCCCATTATCTTGTGATGTAGCAACATCCAACTCTATTTTGTCTGCAGCAGTATTATTAGAATTACAACAGTATTATTAGAATTAAACTTAATAATTGAAATGAAAGAGTAAACAGAAGCAAGGAACATTGTCGTTTGGATATAAGAAGGTTATGGTTGAAGTAAAATGACACTTGGTCTTCTTCAATTCTATTATCCCTCTCTTCCCACATAGAAACAGCGTGGCACGATGCGGCTTCTTCATCGTCCCCTGCCTCTCTCCGTTTGCTTTCACCTCTATCAATGTCTGTTTCGTTCACGACTCAGCCTTTGTCTCCATCTCTATTTTTCAATGCCTCTCCTTATTCCAGTTCCGATCAGATTCATCATCTTTACACTTCCATTTGATCCTCGAATGATCATGCCTCAGTCACTCTCACAAAGCCAAAAGAAAGAAAGAACAAATGCGAAGAAGATGATAGCGAAGGACCTTACCGAACGGAGAACGTCCGGAGGCTCTCTGACGCTATTCGAGAAAACCAGGGATAAATCAGGTAATCGATATTACTTCTGTGATTCACTTCTCTTTCTGCAATTCTTCTTTCCATCTTCTGCGATTTGATTTAATTTGCTACTTCTGTGAAACATTCATGTTGTGACATCATTGATGCGAGACGGATGAAGATGATGATGATTGAAGGTTGGAGATGCTGCAATTTAAAGATGTAAATGCATAAGAGATTGATGATGCTAATTGAAGCGAGCTTAAAGGAATCACGAAGTGTGATGAAGATTATGCAGAGTTGTAAAGAAGATGAAGGTTGGAGTTGCGGTGTTGTTTGTGAAGCAGATGCTTGATGAAAATGAAGATTGATAGAGCAGAGAAAGAAACTCAATGCAATGTGAAGATTCGATTATAGAAGATGATGGAAAAGGTTGAAGAAGTTGCAGAGAAGAAAGGGTGACGATTATGGAAAGAGAGTGCCAAGAGTTATCTGATTTTTCTGGTGAGTTTGCGGTGATTCTCCATATTGTGAAGAATGGTGAATGATGATGTGAGCTGCAAAATTAATGTCGTAGAAAATTGAAGGGAGCTTTTGTTGGTGAATAAAGGTTGAAGAGAGAATGAAGAGTGAAGTTTCTGGTTTTTCTTGTATGATTCTTCAGAATGTGAAGGATGAAGCATTGAGAGAGAGAGAGAGAGAGAGAGAGAGAGAGAGAGAGAGAGAATTTTCAGATGTCTTATTCGTGATTCTTGAAGAATGAATCGATCTGGTGAGTTTTTATTTTTTATATTATGTTATCAGTTTGTTAGAAAACGGTTAGGAATTGCACACCATCTGAGCCACTGATTTTCGATAGTTCTGTTATGGATTGAACGACTAGATCTGTATCTGAGATGCAACTATTGTTAGTTATTCTATTTTTTGTTATGAATGAGTTTCAGTTAGCAGTTAAAAGTTTTTTTTTGTGAAATTCTGTTTTGTTAACTGGCTTTCTTATTTCCGCGAGCTGCAGCTTTCTCCTTTTTCTGATTTTTCATCTGACTTCCTAATACCATTTATTTTTCCTATATATTTCCTTCTGATAAAAATTGAATTTCTGTTTTCTGTTATATGAATAAGCTGGGCTTGAAATTGGTTATTCATTACATTTTTCTAATTTTTAATTTTATACTTTCTGAACATTTTCTTGAACTGGATAGTGGATGCAGGGCTGTAAGTAGTAGCATTTTGAACTAATTTTGGTTTTGGTAGCAACATGGACTGTTATATGTATGTGCAGGTGGATAGGTTGTCTGATGTGAACTAATTTTGGAAATGAACTAGTTTGATGGTTTAAACTTCTGACTTTTATTTGTTCTATGAACTGGTGTATGCAGGTCAGGATCATGGGTTGGTTTATGATAACAGTTTCAGCAGGGTTTTGGCAAGTGTAATTGGCCTGGTCTAGGCATAGCACAAACATGTTGAAGCTGGCACATAACGCATAGGTCACTTGAAGCTTGGGAAAATCGTAAGGAGCGTGAAGGGGATTGATGATTAGAAACTTGGTCATGAAGAATGGAAGAAGAGGTTTAGGATAAGTTTCACGGAGTTCAAACAGTGTTAGAAACATGAAGCAGATTGAAGATGGAAATTGGTCATGCAGATTAGGACTAGGTTTTTGATAAGTTGCAAACTTGTAATGTACTTTGATGTAATGGTTTATTTTGGTGTACTCGTATTGTAATTTCTTCTTCTTCTTTTTTGCATCATAATGAGTGCTATTTGGAAAGAGTCATGAATGAACTTGATAGATGAAACTTGGATAATGAAGCTTTCTTTGAGTGAAAAATCTATTTCCTCAAATTATTTTGAATTTCTAATCCTTTCTTCACTTTGCCACTTTTTGATGAATTGTGAAATAGTGTGAACATCAACCTTTCGCCTAATTTTTTTTCCAATCTTGAATGATCCATAACACAACCTATAGACTTCAATTTTTTCCAATCTTGAATGATCCATAACACAACCTATAGACTTCAATTTTTGCTCAAGACCAGAAGTAGTGACTTGTATCTCAAGTAATCAAATGCATCAATCTTGAATAAGTGATGAAAGTAAACCAAAACTCTATTTATTTGACAAGCCAATTCACCCAAGCCTTAATCCATCTGATATTTACAAGCACAAGAGGCTGAAAATGCCCTCCATGAATTACAATAACATCCATGTCTAAATCCAAAGCCCTTCGAATGAAATCCCATATAATGACTTGAATAAAAACCCAAATATTGAGAAGAGACCCCTGATGATTGTAGGTCCCCTTGTATGGAGATGAGATCCTCAAAGTAATAGAGAAACCCTAAATACCATGAAGCACACCATATGATGACTTTGCTCAAAATCCTGAACTTGTGGGAAATAAATCATATTCTTTGGAATTTATGAAATTAGAGAGAACAACCATGTAGCTTGATGAAGACAAAATTCTTAATGACTATGACTCACAATCCTAAATCTCGACCTCACCGCTTGAAGAATATTCAGACGAATAAGAAGAATTAGGCTTTACTGGATACGAACACCTTAAGCATCGTGAAACCCCAGTATCGCACAACCATTGAACATTGAACTTCCGGAACTTTATTGAATGCAAATGTATGTTAGTGACCTAATGGAATGTATCCAGATGAAAATGCAAAAGCCTAAGCCAGTTAACAGTAATTAGGAGGGAAAATTTTGGGGTGTAACAATAATTTGCATGAAACCATAGGTAAGTTTACTAACCGTAAAGAAAATTTGGATTTAAATTAGTCTAATAAAAAAGCTTCATATAATAAAGTTGAATTAAGGTATAAACTTGTTCTAGAGCGGCCCAAGGTCCAAGTGATTGAGGCCTAATTTACCCCAAGCCCCTTATAATTGACCCAACATATAAAACAATTCATATGCTATGAGATGGTACACAATCTTTGATCTCTAATTTCACTTTACTCTTCTTGAACATTGAATTGACTTAGGCGTTGGAGTGTTAACCATGCAACTGACCTTGCGTCTCCATAAAGGATATCAGAGACATTATTCAAGACCGTTATCATCAAACTCTCATCATTTATGGTTCCTTCGAGAGCTAAAGATTCCATTTCTGGTTCCCAAACGGAATAGTGGTTTCGTCTGTGGGAATTAATTTCTGATTCCTGTGATTTATACAATCTCAGATCCAATTTTAAATTCGCCTACTCGTAACATCCTAATGCTATCAAATCAAGAGCATGCAACCTTTCGATTCTTACAATTTTCTGTTGATTCACATTTACTTCTGAATTTATTTGTTCAAATCTCCTCATATCTCATAATCGAGAGCACTCAAAACTAAACACAGAGATCTTCTGTAGCCGATTCAGCTGGTCGACGTCTCTGCCTCGACCTTACTGTCAAGATCTATGATTTCCTTGAATAATCTGCAAAATAGTGGACGAAAGGGTTTCAGATCCATATCTAAGGTTACCTTGGGGCCTGAAGGAAAAATCCATGAAATCCTGACTTGAGCCTCCTAACTCCTTGTCCGACCTAGCTACACTCATACTCTCCGCTGCTACCAAGGAAAATATGGGCCTATCACCATAAGGATACTGCAAGTTTGTATTTAATGGCATCCAGATTGCACAAGTTTGTAGTTAACATCGAGTGCTGATCCAAAATAGGGGTGCCTCGTGGGGATGCCATAGGATTTCCACGAGATGTACCAGGCTTTCCATCGATCTAATCAGGGAGGAGAGGTCCACTGAAAATACCCAGGGAAAGATATCCCAGACCCCATTTGTGAGACGATCAATATTAGCATCTATCCATAAATCATCACTATTCATTCTAAAGTAACAACTAAATAGGAGGGGGTAACTTTCATTCCTTCTTTAGAGTTCAAAAAAGTCGACTAGCCCACCTACACCGACATACGATCACAAGGAAAACATTGTAGACCCCATCCACTTAAAGAAAACTCTTTGATGCATAAAGCATAATCGACCCGGAACCTTAGAGGGTGAAGGAAAAGTATCGAAGACTCTGAACCCTGTCCGATCACACTTAGGTCACCGCCGAAGGTTATCCACCCCGACAATTATTAAGTTATTTGTAACAAATTCAATTCATTATTTTTAGACAATGAAAACATATCTGGAAGGGGGTAAATAGATCCTCAATGAAAATTTTACTTAAACTATTTTAAAAAATTAAGCAAAACCTATGGCAAGCGGAAATCGTATCCTAGATCACAAGTCGTCCAAACCAAATTTATTATAGGAGGCTCAGATATGCGTACAATCAATACTCAATTGAATTATGATAATAAGATATTAATACAATAAACTCTAAATTAATTGTTTTACAACTACAAGTCCAACCAATACCCAATGAAACAATTGATAAAACCAAATGAAACAATTTATCAAACACTTAGTGTTCAATTGGTGAAGCTAAGTGAAACAATTTATCGAACACTTGGTGTGCACTTAATTTTTTATATTTTACCTCGAGATTTGTAGGTATGAAAAACCTCCTACAATCTAATAGATTATAGGGTAATCAATAAAGCACTTTAACAACCAAAAGATTTGTCTATACGAATTAATTGCACACTCAAAGAGCTTAACAAATTTGCTTAACAAAATAAAATGATATATATATATATATATATATATATATATATATATATATATATATATATATATATATATATATATATATATATATATATATATATATATATATATATATATATATATATATATATATATATATATATATATATATATATATATATATATATATATATATATATATATATCGATGATATTATTTTTGGTTCTGCTAATCCATCTCTCTGCGAGGAATTTTCTAAGCTAATGCAAACTAAGTTCGAAATGAGTATGATGGGGGAACTGGAGTTCTTTCTCAGAATCCAGATTGATAAAAAATAAGAGGCTACTTACATACATCAAAGTAAGTACACCAAAGATCTTCTGAAGAAATTCAACATGACCGACTGCACTGTAGCAAAGACTCCAATGCATCCTACATGTATCTTGGAAAAAGAAGAGATAAGTGCAAAGGTTTGTCAGAAGCTCTATCGTGGTATGATAGGCTCTCTTATTTATTTAACTGCATCTAGACCTGATATTTTATTCAGTGTACATCTTTGCGCTAGATTCCAATATGATCCTAGGGAATCCCACTTAAATATTGTGAAAAGGATTCTAAGGTATCTAAAAGGAACCGCTAACCTTGGCTTGATGTATGAGAAAACATCAGAGTATTCTCTTTCTGGCTTATGTGATGCAAACTACGCTGGAGATCGACTAGAGAGAAAAAGCACTCCTGGAAATTATCAGTTTCTAGGAAAGAATCTAATCTCATGGTCAAGCAAGAGTAAATCAACAATTGCTCTTTCAACAACAGAAGCATAGTACATATCAATAATATTATGCATCACTCAGATGCTATGCATGAAGAATCAGATGGAAGATTACCATATATGAGAGTAACATTTCTATCTTCCATAACAATATTGCTGCTATTGGCTAAGTACTTAGGCATTATAAATTCATTAAAGTCTGAAATAAAACAGTCATGCATGCGTCTCCAGAGTATAGATTAGGTCCTAGACCTTTGATACTTGTCAGTTACTTTATTCATGTATTAAAAACAACCTATTTAAAGTAATGAACAACTTTGGATACCCTCATAAATGAGATCAACTATTATTTTTTTCCTTTCTCATACATCTATGTCTCCTAGTCTACTTTAGATACTCACAAATCTGATTCAAAGGTATCAACTGTCTTTCTTATTAAATCTTAGGAGTTATTGCTGCCCTCTTGACCTTCCTCAGTCATTCATTATTGAGTCTCCCAAGATTGATTATCTTAGGAAAATCATTTCTCCTGTCAAGTCACATCTTCTCGATTCCTTTTATACATCATGCTTTCCCTCTACCTCTCCTAACAAGTAATTTCTAACAACTGATATCAATCGCCTTCCATTTCATTATCTTTCTCTTCTCATAATGAATTCAACAACTTCTCATGAAAATGATGATCGATTGGAAGTTATCTTTGAAAGACATCCAAGAATCTTTGGTGCAAGTTCGAAATTCCATATCAGAATTCATGCTCAAAACTGGAATCATTATCTCTTTTCACTTGTAGGACCCGCTTATCCAAATCTTGTAAATATTTTCTGGAAAAATGCTTCCATCAATCGTAGTGGTATGACAATCTATTCAAGCATCTATGGCGAGGATGTTTTCTTCACTATTGAATGCATTGCTAAAATATTTGTTTGTCCTCGAGTGGGTATCACGACGAATCGTGTCTCTCTTGATCGAATCCCTGATGGTCAAATTAATTCCATCTTCAACGCATCCTCTGGTTTTGACTCTACTAATCCTAAAAATCTTAAGCCTTTTGC